GACTGGCATCCTCAGAGACAGTTGGTAGTTCCAACTAAATACCGGGCCAAGCTCTTGAGCTTAGCCCACGATCACCCTAGTGGCCATGCTGGGGTGAACAGGACCAAAGACCGTTTGGGGGGGGTCATTCCACTGGGAGGGAATGGGCAAGGATGTTTCTACCTATGTCCAGTCTTGTGAGGTGTGCCAAAGAGTGGGAAAACCCCAAGACCAGGTCAAAGCCCCTCTCCAGCCACTCCCCATCATTGAAGTTCCATTTCAGCGAGTAGCTGTGGATATTCTGGGTCCTTTTCCGAAAAAGACACCCAGAGGAAAGCAGTACATACTGACTTTCATGGATTTTGCCACCCGATGGCCGGAAGCAGTAGCTCTAAGCAACACCAGGGCTAAAAGTGTGTGCCAGGCACTAGCAGACATTTTTGCCAGGGTAGGTTGGCCCTCCGACATCCTCACCGATGCAGGGACTAATTTCCTGGCAGGAACTATGAAAAACCTTTGGGAAGCTCATGGGGTAAATCACTTGGTTGCCACTCCTTACCATCATCAAACAAATGGCATGGTGGAGAAGTTTAATGGAACTTTGGGGGCCATGATACGTAAATTTGTAAATGAGCACTCCAATGATTGGGACCTAGTGTTGCAGCAGTTGCTCTTTGCCTACAGAGCTGTACCACATCCCAGTTTAGGGTTTTCCCCATTTGAACTTGTATATGGCCGTGAGGTTAAGGGGCCATTGCAGTTGGTGAAGCAGCAATGGGAGGGATTTACACCGTCTCCAGGAACTAACATACTGGACTTCGTAACCAACCTACAAAACACCCTCCGAACCTCTTTAGCCCTTGCTAGAGAAAACTTACAGGATGCTCAAAAAGAGCAAAAAGCCTGGTATGATAAGCATGCCAGAGAGCGTTCCTTCAAAGTAGGAGACCAGGTCATGGTCTTAAAGGCGCTCCAGGCCCATAAAATGGAAGCATCGTGGGAAGGGCCATTCATGGTCCAGGAGCGCCTGGGAGCTGTTAATTATCTCATAGCATTCCCCACCTCCAACCGAAAGCCTAAGGTGTACCATATTAATTCTCTAAAGCCCTTTTATTCCAGAGAATTAAAGGTTTGTCAGTTTACAGCCCACGGAGGAGACGACGCTGAGTGGCCCGAAGGTGTCTACTACGAAGGGAAATGTGGTGGTGGTGTGGAAGAGGTGAACCTCTCCATGACCCTTGGGCGTATGCAGCGACAGCAGATCCAGGAGCTGTGCACTAGCTACGCGCCAACGTTCTCAGCCACCCCAGGACTGACTGAACGGGCATACCACTCCATTGACACAGGTAATGCTCACCCAATTAGGGTCCAACCTTACCGGGTGTCTCCTCAAGCTAAAACTGCTATAGAACGGGAGATCCAGGATATGTTACAGATGGGTGTAATCCGCCCCTCTGGCAGTGCATGGGCATCTCCAGTGGTTCTAGTTCCCAAACCAGATGGGGAAATACATTTTTGCGTGGACTACCGTAAGCTAAATGCTGTAACTCGCCCAGACAACTATCCAATGCCACGCACAGATGAACTATTAGAGAAACTGGGACGGGCCCAGTTCATCTCTACCTTGGACTTAACCAAGGGGTACTGGCAGGTACCGCTAGATGAATCTGCCAAGGAAAGGTCAGCCTTCATCACACATCTCGGGCTGTATGAATTTAATGTACTCCCTTTCGGGCTGCGAAATGCACCCGCCACTTTCCAAAGACTTGTAGATGGTCTCCTAGCAGGATTAGGAGAATATGCAGTCGCCTACCTTGACGATGTGGCCATATTTTCGGATTCCTGGGCAGACCACCTGGAACATCTACAAAAAGTCCTTGAGCGCATAAGGGAGGCAGGACTAACTGTTAAGGCTAAGAAGTGTCAAATAGGCCTAAACAGAGTGACTTACCTTGGACACCAGGTGGGTCAAGGAACTATCAGCCCCCTACAGGCCAAAGTGGATGCTATCCAAAAGTGGCCTGTCCCAAAGTCAAAGAAACAGGTTCAATCCTTCTTAGGCTTGGCTGGTTATTACAGACGATTTGTACCGCACTACAGCCAAATCGCTGCCCCACTGACAGACCTAACCAAAAAGAAACAGCCAAATGCTGTTCAGTGGACCGGAAAGTGTCAGAAGGCCTTTAACAAGCTTAAAGCGACACTCATGTCTGACCCTGTACTAAGGGCCCCAGACTTTGACAAACCGTTCCTAGTAACCACAGATGCATCTGAGCGTGGTGTGGGAGCAGTTTTAATGCAGAAAGGCCCTGATCAAGAATTCCACCCTGTAGTGTTTCTCAGCAAAAAACTGTCTGAGAGGGAAAGCAACTGGTCAGTCACTGAAAAAGAATGTTACGCCATTGTCTACGCTCTGGAAAAGCTACGCCCATATGTTTGGGGACGGCGTTTCCACCTGCAAACCGACCATGTTGCACTGAAGTGGCTTCACACCGTCAAAGAAACTAACAAAAAACTTCTTCGGTGGAGTTTAGCTCTCCAAGATTTTGATTTCGACATCCAACACATCTCAGGAGCTTCTAACAAAGTGGCTGATGCACTCTCCCGTGAAAGTTTCCCAGAATCAACTGGTTAAAATCGTCCTTGAGATGTGGAAAATATTGTTAGTCTTTATGTACTTGGTAGTATATTTAGAGATGCATGTGTCTTATTAACTCTGTTTTTCCTAGAGCTCCAGGAAGAAATCCCAGCCAGTGTTCCACCCTAGCTGAGATTTGGGGGGCGTGTCATAAATATAAAGGGAAGGGTAAACCCCTTTGAAATCCCTCCTGGCCAGGGGAAAGCTCCTCTCACCTGTAAAGGGTTAAGAAGCTAAAGGTAACCTCGCTGGCACCTGACCAAAATGACCAATGAGGAGACAAGATACTTTCAAAAGCTGGGAGGAGGGAGAGAAACAAAGGGTCTGTGTCTGTCTGTATGCTGGTCTTTGCCAGGGACAGAACAGGAATGGAGTCTTAGAACTTTTAGTAAGTAATCTAGCTAGGCATGTGTTAGATTATGATTTCTTTAAATGGCTGAGAAAAGAATTGTGCTGAATAGAATAACTATTTCTGTCTGTGTATCTTTTTTGTAACTTAAGGGTTTGCCTAGAGGGGTTCTCTATGTTTTTGAATCTAATTACCCTGTAAGATATCTACCATCCTGATTTTACAGGGGGGATTTCTTTATTTCTATTTACTTCTATCTTTTATTAAAAGTCTTCTTGTAAAAAACTGAATGCTTTTTCATTGTTCTCAGATCCAAGGGTTTGGGTCTGTGGTCACCTATGCAAATTGGTGAGGCTTTTTATCCAACATTTCCCAAGAAAGGGGGGGTGCAAGTGTTGGGAGGATTGTTCATTGTTCTTAAGATCCAAGGGTCTGGGTCTGTAGTCACCTAGGCAAATTGGTGAGGCTTTTTACCAAACCTTGTCCAGGAAGTGGGGTGCAAGGTTTTGGGAAGTATTTTGGGGGGAAAGACGCGTCCAAACAGCTCTTCCCCAGTAACCAGTATTAGTTTGGTGGTGGTAGCGGCCATTCCAAGGATAACGGGTGTAATATTTTGTACCTTGGGGAAGTTTTGACCTAAGCTGGTAAAGATAGGCTTAGGAGGTTTTTCATGCAGGTCCCCACATCTGTACCCTAGAGTTCAGAGTGGGGGAGGAACCTTGACAGCTTGTCTGTGGAATCACTCTATTTATTTTAAACCACAATTGAAACGCTTTATTTTATCTTGCAACTAAGGGCTTGTAGGTATTGTGCAAAAAATATATATTTTTTTTGTTGATTGTATGAGGTCTTCTGATGTGCACCCTTTATAAACTTGAAAAATAAGCAACATTTTTATTTTGGACACATATAAATGTGGAATTTAAAAGATGACATTAGATTTACCATTAATTGTGAATGATCACAAGGATGTTGTGACAAGTAGTGGTGTGCAAAAATAACCTGCTCACATGAAGATTGCCGTATTTTTATAAAGCATTATAATTAATGAGTTTTAAAAAGGCAACAACTGAACTCATCAGGATTCAAGTACACCAGTGCCTATGAAAAGAGATTTAAAAAATGCTGAAAGATTTAAAAGAAAAAAAAATTAGACAACTTGTCTATTATATAAACAGTTACAAGCTGAATAATGCATCACTTATCATCACAATGAATACTCGTAAGGGGACATTATTGACTTTTCTCCCCTTCTTCTGAATACTGGCAAATAAACTTATTTTCAGACAAGAACACTTCTGATACATTTATACATTACTGTATGTGGGCTGATGTTTTCTGGGTCCAAATAACTTAATAATTGCAGGAAAGATAACTCAACCAGAACCAGAAATGCTTGTTTTTGGCAGCTCACAACCCTCACCTTTTTGGTAAGTGGGACGAAGACCGGGTTTAAAAACAAAAAAAGATTCCTGAAGAGCATGGCTTTGTGAGGCTGCACATTTGGCCTAATGCTACCTCTGCTGTCTCCTCTCCCATATACTTCCCCAGGAATCCTTTCAAGCTGAACACACTAGAAGCAGGACATTTCACTGTGATATTCTACAAGGTTTTCTGAGAGTGATAAACTAGCCAGGAGGGGTTTGATTTATGTTTATTTATAGTGCTCCACTTCATGCAGATTTTTTCTTCTGTATTGCTGATAAATCAAGTTAATGATTTGCCTACACCTGCCATCTCAGAACCTCATTTGCCATTAGAAGTATATTAACTATTTATGTCCCTAATACCATATTATGTACGAGAAACTGACACAATGACAGATTTTAAACATACAAAGCATAAATACTCTCTGGAACAGATTGCTCTATTGATGCAAAATCACAACAGGGGGCATTGAAATAGGAGGAAAGTGGCCTTACAATCACAGTGTAGCAATCTGTCATTTCAATGTTTTCTCTCCTAGATTGGCCTAATCATATTCTGGAAAGCAGAGACCAGCATACAACAGAGCACAACAAAAATGGAAAAAAATTAGTGAAAAATTAATTTTATTCATAAGAGAAAAATCAAAATACAGACAAATTGTCATGGAAGTACACAATATAGTCCCAGAATATATATGTGAAAAATTCCACACTTCTGCTTTTATTTGAGTAGTCAAATCTAAAATGAGGAAAAGTAGGATGGGGCCTAACCTAATTGTTGAGTGGTCTTAACCCCCACTGATATCCCATATCTCACAGGAGATGCTCAGCATTTTGCAGTATGTGTTAGAACAATATTATTGGCAAACATGTAAAGGAAGTGCTGACTTCTCCTGGAATCTCAGTGTTTTAAAAGAAGCTCTTTGTAACAAGAATCTCTCCCTCTAAACCCATTCCTCTTAAAGAGTTGTCCTTTGACAAGCTCACAGCTTTCTTATTTCTTAATTGTTTGCATTGTAGTTGTTGCTGTGTTGGTCCCAGGATATTAAAGAGAGAGATGGTGGGTGAGGTAAGCTCAAAAGCTGTCTCTTTCAGCAACAGAAGTTGGCCCAATAAAAGATATTACCTCACCCATCTTGTCTCTCTTATTTCTTAATTGTTTAAGAAAAAAAAAAAAACAGCCTGTACAAACAGAATTTCTTCCACTATTTTCAGTAGAAATGCTTCTCCCAGGCAACTTCAGGACATAAGAACAGTAAGACTGGATCAGACCCAGGGTCCAGCTAATCCAGTATTCTGTCTCCAAAAGTGGACAGCACCAGATGCTTCAGAGGAAGGCACAAAACAGAATAGACAAAAGTGGGCTAATCTGCATCCTATATTTGGTCTCCTCGTAATCCTGATACTTAGAGATTAGTTTAAAACCTGAATCATGGTGTTTAATAACTCTAACCAAAATGTATGGTAGCATAAACTAGTATAACTCTGGATCATCTAGTTATCCATATAAATGCATGACCCATTTTTGAATCATACTAAATTTTTGGCCCCAATGGTATTCTGTGCCAATCTTGAGGACACATAAGAAAATAGATTAAGGTTACAAAATAGGCAGGGTTCTGAATGTGTGTTAATACAGGGCTCAGATATACAATACAAAAGGAATCCGCAATATTAATTTTCTCATACAGTTCAGCCATATCCTTATCTTAGGCAGACTACAGGGTGGCTGCTGAATTATGGTAGTAGTGATGCTTATGCAGAGATGAATAGCTCATCTTTCCCTCCGCTGCCCACACATATATACAAATCTGCTATGACACTCTCTCTGCACAATGGAGACCAAAGTGATTACTGACAACTAAAGAATGAGAGGTCCACTCCAAAAATGGAAACAGTGCAAGATTATTTGTTCCACATGGAATGCATTTGGTGGTATCAGTCCAATTACAAGTAGATAAGTGTCTACAACACAGAAACTACCACCAACTCCAATCAGCACTAACTCGCTTGTCAACTTTTGTTGACAGTCTCATAAGAGAAAGTACTGAATGGGCCATAAAGACTGAACTACTCCATAGATATGGTCCCTCCAAGCCAGGATTGAGGCACCTAGCAAAGCCTAGAAAGGGCTGCGTGGGGAAGTTTATGTTGTAACAACCTGAGATGCACGTGCTTTGCAAACAGAGGATTTCTGTCTCCAGGATTCTCAATTTAGCAACTTCTATGAGGCCTATATCCAGACACCCTTCTTTTTGTAGTTGCAAGATCATTTCTTTTAAGTAATCATAAAACTTTTTGTTTGTGAACTTTAACCAATGCATTATCAATTTAATTCAGTTTTACATAGGGTGCAGGCATGTAAATACCACTTTTTCTCTTGATTAGGGAGTAGGATTTAATATGGAAATAATGTATATTCTACATACATAAGGTTGCTGGAAAACAACAGTTTACATATTACAGTTCTAGTTGTTTGATTACCTCTGCCAACTCAAAAAAGTGAGAAAAGTGGTAAAAGTTGCATATATATTTCTTAGTTGGAATTCACTATATTAAATATTTTATACCCTCTCCTGGCTGCCAGTTCTTCATTTTCCACATAAAATACATAAGTTACTATCAGCCACTGCTCCATCTAGATAATTGATTTCTTCTCCCCTGATGATTAAGAGGTCATCATTAAGGTCACCCCAGCAGTCAGACATAAGTCACTCTCAGAACTCCAGTCTTGTAATGTATGCCGGTCTGAACCAACTTTCTCTGTCATTGGCTTTGCTCTTTCAAAATCAAAAATCCAACAAATATCAAAGCTAAAATAATAATTAAATATTATCTTCTGGTTTTGTACCCTCAGTGACTTTTGCTGGAAAGTCACCCTAATGAAAACGATCCTTATATTTCTGTATTTTATTTGAAGGTTAACTTGAGAATAATTTTCAGTTAGCATGTCTGGATTCTTCACATCTTCAAAAAGGCAACCTGTAAAAGAGAACAAAACAAAAAACAATTGTTAGCTTCAGCATGGCGAGAAAAAGCATAAAGGATTCCTGCCATTCAAAGAAACGTTGCACTTATCACTTCACAGAAAAGTGCATTTACCCAAAGCTGTGCAGTACTTTTCCCAAAGAAGTGATTGTTAAATGCTGAAGATAGTTTTAATATGTTTATTCTACTTTTCTGTTTATGCCCTTAATGTTCTCAAACTCACTTTTCAGTGCTTGCTGCTGAATTAAATCAACTGTAGGATTTTTCACAGTTGCAACAAGGATTAGCAGGATTCTCTGGTCTGTATTTCTGTGAGGGAAAGTCATGTATACATGTTTTTGTCCTTGCATCAGAAATACAGTTTGTTTCTAAATAACAAAAGTAAAAGGTGTTCATCTTTTCTAATTTAAGAAGACATCTGACAGTATTCTGAAACTGGTTTCGATTTTAATCCCTGATATACTCCCCATTTTGCCCAAAATATTAGCTTGTTTTAAGAACGTTGTCTCTATCTGCTATGAAATCCTGACCTCAGAGTTAATGGAAAAACTCATTCTGATTTCAAAGTGAATAAGAAATAGTCCAAGACACATCTGTGATGCTGCATAAAAAGGAAGATAACTAATTACACTAATACAGTCACCACTGTTATAAAGTTGCAATAAATCTTGTACAAGTATGACATGTAAGGTATCAATAGAAAAGTTATAGACTGCTAAGTATTATTATCCTGTTTAAATCCATGTATCATCTTTGTATATGAAGTTATGAATATTGGCTAAGACTTTGTATCTCAAACATGTTGTTTTCTTGGGTGGCACCCCAAGACAGATTTGCATCTAGACGAGGCAGCCTGCTTGATGGCCCATTAAGGACAATCAGCTCACCCAGTGTGTCCCTCCTGAAGACGTTTTAGAACGCATTGAGGCAATGGCTACCCCGTGATTCAGCAAGGCACATAAGGACATGTGATTTAAGACTCCATCTTTTGCCAGTAACTTTCCATACGCTTGGGCTAAAAGTATAAAAGGAGACTGTGACATCACTTCTTTGTCTTCAATTCTGCCCCATATCTTTGGAGATGATTTCTAACAAAAGGAAGCTTTGGATAATGGACTGATGACACCCAATCTATTTGAGTGAACCAGAGAGAATTACTATAAGATAGCAGATTTAACATCACTGCTATTATCCTGACCTGCAAACTCTGAAATAACTGTAATGTACACGTTTCCTTTAACCAATTAATAACTCTTATTTTCTTTTTGTATTAATAAACCTTTAGTTTTTAGTTACTAAAGGATTGGCTACATGCGTGGTATTTGGTAAAATCTATCTATCCATAAGTATATATATTGACCTGGGGGAGTGGCTGATCCTTGGGATTAGAAGAACCTTATATACGATGAATCTGTTTTTCAGTAACCTCTCATCATAAAGATCAGATGTCTGGGTGGTGATACGGGCTGGGCTATGTAAGGGGACTGTATTTTGGCTTCTTGTTACCCAGTGTGGTGATGCAGGAGCTCACTTTTGTTACTGGTGTGGTGAACTCTAATGTTAGAATGACCACCAGTTTTAGGGTCCACACACCACGCGCACCGCATCGTTTTTTTTTTTTTTTACAGAAAAATCCCGGAAGGAGGAAAACTACATGACAAACACTGCATGGAAAATGATCCACCTTCTTCCCTTTGGTGTGCAGGGCTAATGGCAATATAGAAGGGACAGGGAGTGTGACCTGCCAAATACAAAAAGCCCAAGGATTTGTGGGAGTAAATGGGCCGATCCTATTGGCTATTGGTTCATCTCCATGAGGTGGCTTTCCCTCCATGTTCTTTTCAGCCTTCCTCAGAACTGGCAACCTATACTAGAACACATTTAGGATGTGACTTTAAACAACTGGGAACAAATTATGAGCAAAGTGGACCTCCAGAGTAAGCAAAACAGCTAACTATTAAACTGGGGAAGCTTAATACTATGCTGATCAAAAAGGTAGTTCAGAAAACGCATTAAAGCCACTATGGAAAGATGAAAAAGCCAATAGGGCATTTAGCATATTGCTGAAAACACCCAGTGAACAGGACTGATGCCTCATAAAAACACAGCAAGAAGAAGAGTCATTAGATACATGCTGACCTTTTTCCTCCATGCTCCTTGCAACTCCAGTGGATCAACTACACAAGCAATTACAGCTCTAGTAAAGCTCAATATCATCTTGGGTTTGTAAACTATTAGACTACATGTATGTGGATGTCATGCTGATCTTTAATCCCCAGACTGTTTGATACTGTATTTAAAGAATGTACTAAATATGATGAACTGGCAGGGATTGAATATAGAGCTGCACAGAATAAAAGATTTCTTTCTGATCAGATGGCCAAAGGAATACTCAAAAGACACTCAAATGTTTGCTTTGAATTGAGAAATATATGCCAGGAGCCAGTTATTCATGGAGATGTTGCCTGGACAAGATGCAGATGGTTTGCTCCTCCCACTTCCTAGTCTAGCTTGATCTTATGCCAGTGCAAACTGAGCACAAATGTTGTGATGAATCAGATAGGATTGCCTACATGCAAAAGTTGTTTCGCTTTAACTTTACAGTTGTAGTTAAATGAGAAAGAACTTAAGTACATTTCCCCCTGTGAAGTGATAATGAATAGGGGTTGTATTGGAATGCCATGTACACCTGTGTATTTTACTGGTATGAAACATATAGGTATTAGAAATCCTGTGTCCCTAACCTTTAAAAGCACGCATTCCCCTTTATTTATGCAGCATTCTCTCACTTTGGAGGGAGTAAAAAGTAGGAGTAGTTTGAAAGTTTGTGATCCCCATGATTATATACTGAAACTCAGCTTTCGACTGAGTTGTTTTTGTGTTTTGATGAAATAAGCATGTAGCTTAATCTCTGCTTCCTAAAGCTGATTGCCTCAAAGAAAGAACCACTTGTCCTTTTCTTAGCAAAGAGGAGAATTCTCTCCAACTCCATCTTCTTTATCTCCCTCAATTCAGACAGCCCTTTTGCCCCCACTGCTTGTAACTTTGGCATCATTTTTCACCTTTAACTTTTCTCTTACTCCTGTATCTACTGTCAGCTCCACAGAATTGCCTACGTACTCTGAACACACAGATCTTGTGTTTTGTTTGAATACATTGCTCATCTAGCTTGAGCCTTGCCTCTGCTCATCTAACACCAGACATCCTCTCTATCTGTTCTGTCCAGAATGGTAATACTGTGCAAAGAGATTTCTCTCCAGCGGCTTCTGCCTTCTGGAACAGCCTTCTTTTATCTCTCTGGCTCACTGAGTCTCCATTGCTTTTCAAACTTCTTCTACAAATAACGGCTTTTCTCCCTCACCTATTCCTCGTAATTTTTTTGTCGGACCTATGACCAAATCCTTAATTTATTCATTATGGAATGCCTTTACAACACTGTGTTCTGGTGTTCTTACTAGACACTCTGTTGTATTCTTTAACTCTGTGAAACACTTCGAGATTACAGCTTGTATGAAAAACACGTGCCAAATAAAATGTTATCAGAAAGTTTCAAGAAGGTCTAAAATTAAACTGCATGGACATCTATTTCTTCCTGAGCAAACCAGTATTGCTAACACTGTCTTTAACTATACGTACATCTAAAAAACGTCTATTAGCACCCAATTGTTATAATTTTTTTAAAAGTACGAACAACATTAAAGGTCCAACAATTACCCCTGTCATTCCCAACTAACACCCAATCTCTTATAAAAATTAAGGCAAAAGTTTCAAAAACTTGACAAAACAATTTGTCTGGCACTAGGGTTACCATACATCCAGGTTTTCCCAGACATTACTTTTTTTTTTTTTTTTTTTTTTTTTGTTGAGGCTCCGTCCTCTGTCCGGACAAATTTATCAAACAACAGGAAATGTCCACAATTTTTGCAGAGCAGATGCTGCAACTCCGAAAGAGTCGCGATTGGTCCACTTCCTGATTGGTCGACAGCTGCTGGATCCTGCCCACCCAGGCTCCATTCCCAGCCCTGGGGAGGGGGTCCCACAGGAAGGCACTGACTGACTGCTGTCGCTGCATTCCAGACTTGCATCTGCCGGCATGATAGAGAGTGATACTGCCCTCAACTTCAAGTGAGTACCCCTGTTGCAGGTACCTCCTCCAGCTTCCCCAACTGTACCCTCCCTCCAGATCCCCCACCCCAGAAGTGTTCTCTTTTTGGGAACCTGAAATATGGTAAACCTATCTTGCGTTGTACGCTGAATTTGGTTACAGTTCTGGCAGACCACAGGAGGAATCAAGTCCCAGTGGTGTAAGATCTCTAGTGCAGATAGAGATATTAACCTCAGGAACCAATAGTGAGATCAGCCCAGTGGCTCATAACTGCATGGGAACATGGAGAAAGGTCTTTGTACATCATGACTAACCATGTTGAGCTGTGCCCAGAAATAAAGAGGATGCCAAAGCAGGTCATAAAACACTGGTACTATGGGCTCATAGCTATTTGTCCCACTGAGTGCTGAGTGTTGGGCTTTTTCAGTGCTAAGCTCAAATAGAGAACATTGCAGTAATGTGGCCTGGGGGTTACAAAGGCAATGATTGCTGTGATGAGGTCTGCATTTCAGAAAGAAATGGTCACAAACAATAGGACTTCAATGAAAAGGCACTACCTGCCACCAAGATTGGAACAACAGCGTCAGTCGATGGAATATGATCATGAAATTGCAACCAGATTGCTGGCGGTCTGGCACATAGAACTAACATAAGTGGACTTACTATCCAGTTAATTTCTTCCTACCTATCACCATCATTTCCCCATTTTATCTGGATTCATCTTAACCCAGTTTACTCCAATCCATTTGTCACAGTCGCTGGAAGAGTAAAAAAAATGGCAGCTTCCAGTTGTAATGACAATCATAGAATCACAGAATATCAGGGTTGGAAGGAACCTCAGGAGGTCATCTAGTCCAACCCCCTGCTCAAAAGCAGGACCCATCCCCAA